ACATGGTAAAACCCCGTCTCTAGTAAAAATACAAAAAATTAGCTGGGCATGGTGGCACATGCCTGTAATCCCAGCTACTCGGGAGGCTGAGGCAGGAGAATTGCCTGAACCCAGGAGGCGGAGGTTGCAGTGAGCCGAGATTGCGCCATTGCACTCCAGCCTGGGTAACAAGAGCGAAACTCCGTCTCAAAAAAAAAAAAAAAAAAAAACCACACACACACATAAATTAAAAAGTTTAACTGCATTATTTTCTCTACACTGGCTAAGACTATTGCTCTACATTATCAATTTTAATGTCATGTGTCTGTGTGAATGTAGTGTGGGTTTGAGTAGCATTGTGTGTGAGTGGCTCCACAAGTACTTCTAGTGCAGCCCCTCAGTTTAAAGAAGAAAGGGGTCGGGGGGAAACTACACAAAACTTTCAGTTCCTTTACCTAATGAGCATTGTTCTAACAACTGTTTATCAGCCTACTTGGGAACAGCCCCTCTTGCCCTGTGTTTATTCTTAGGGCACACCTTCAGTCACCCCATGCCCAATGTATCTCATTCCCCAGTGAGGATTCGTTAGCTAGAAATTTAACACTTTTCTGCAACTTTAAACTTAGATTATGCTTTGTTATAAATTTTTATACCCTTCTTCTGTCAAAGATGCATAAGTAAGATTTTTAAAAAGTTATTGGATTAAATAGCCCTTCTCTTTCCACTTGTCTCTGGGGAATGTAAGCTGATGGTTCTTAAGATGTTGAATTTTGTTTACTATCCACTGTTCTTCAGCCAGAATTCTCTAGTGATCTAAAGCAATGTGACTGAAGACCAGGTTTTAAATTATGTGTTGAAGAGTTGCCTTATATTTTAAAAGGGAAAAAATTACCTGATTTTTATTATGCCAGATGACAGCAACATGAAGTCCTAATATATTGTTGTCAGTTGCTTTCCTGCTTATTGTGAACACTGGTACTTCCGTGTTCCTGAGCCCTCCGGAGTACCTACAGCTTCTGGTGCAATGTCTTCTCCCAAAGTGTTGGCCACCATTTCACCCAAGGCCCTCTTCCAATTCTTGCTTTTCTGAGTCAGATTTAGAGAGCACCCCTGTCTCCCCTTATCCCTTACTTTATCTCCAAACCAGATATTCTTGCTGCATTTTTCTTCTCACTACCTCTCCCTGAAAGGTGAGCTGCCAGATACCAATTTGGGAGCTTTAAGCCAAACAACCTCAAACCCATTTCTTCCTGTGTAGGGGTGCAAGTCTCTGAAGCTCTCACTGAAACCCGTAGTCTGTGTAGAAAACATACCATAATCCCCCTGCCCCAAAACTGCCATTGCCTTTGGTGTGAGATGTTCCTTGTTTCCTAGTTCAACTTGAGTCCCTCACTCCTCTGCTAGCCAACCCCCATCCAGCAATAAGGATCCTAGCCCCAGTCCCCTATTCACACTCTCTGCCTGCATTCCACGCTAGCCTAGGGAATACCTGTATTCTCTACTTTGACCACATGCTGTAGTATTCATTCTCTATCTCTCTCATCTTCTCACCTGTGGTGGTTTATGGGTGTGATGAAGTTTTTGATATTATTATAAACTAGTAAAAAGAAAACAACAACAACAAAAACTCAGAGAGAGAGAGAAAGATCTTTTCAGGGTCTTTGCCCATTTTAATTTAGATTATTTGTTTTCTTACTATTAAGTTGCTTATTATTTTCAATTTTAACCCCTTATCAGAGTTATGGTTTGGAAATATTTTCTTCCATTCCATAGGTTGCCTCTCCACCCTGTTGATTATTTTTTTTGCTGTGTAGAAACTTTTTTAGTTTGATGTAATCCCATTTGTCTATCTTGGGATAGACATTATCTATCTTTATGGATTCTATCCAAAATCATTGCCCCAACTAATATCAGGAAGGTTTTCTCCCATATTTTTTTCTAGTGGTTCTGCAGTCTCAGTTGTTACATTTAAGTCTTTAAATCATTTTGGGTTGATTTTTGTACCTGGAGTGAGATAAGGTCTAATTTCCATTTTCTGCATGTGGATATGCAGTTTTTTCAACACCATTTATTAAAAATACTGTTCATTCCCCATTCATGTGCTTTTGGCAACTTTGTCAAAATTGATCGTCTAAAATGCATGTGTTTATTTCTGGACTTTGTATTCTGTTCCATTGCTCCATGTTTCTGTTTTATTGCCAGTACTGTCCTGTTTTGATTACTATTGCTTCATAGTACATTTTGAAGTTAGGTAGTGTGATATCTCCAGCTGTGTTCTTTGTTGCCCATGATTGCTTTTGTTCTTAGGGATCTTTTGTGATTATATATACATTTTTTGGTGTTTTATATTTCTTTGAAGAATGTCATTGGTATTTAGGTAGGAATTGCACTGAATCTGTAAATCACTTTGGCCATTATTGTCATTTTGACAGTATTAACTCTCCCAATCTACAAATAAGGGATATCTTTTTATTTATTGGTGTTTTCTTCATTTTTTAATATATGTTTCATAATATTCTCTATGTAAGTCTTTTACCACCTTGTTTAAGTTTACTCCTAAGTATTTATTTTTTGTAGATATTGTTAACAGGATTATGTTCTTTTTCAGGTCTTTCATTGTTAGTGTATAGTGTCACTACTGATTTTTTATGTTGATTTTGTATCTAGTCACATTACTGAATTTGTTTACTAGTTTTAACCTAGTTTGCTAAAGTCTAGGATTTTTTACATATAGGACCATGCTGTCTGCAAACAGGGATGTATTTAGCTATTTCATTTCCAATTTGGATGCTTTTTATTTCTTTCCCTTGCCTAATTACTCTGAGTAGAACTTCCATTAATACATTGAATAGAAGTAGTGAGAGTGAGCATCCTTGTCTTGTCCTTAATCTTAGAAAAAGCTTTTAACTCTTCACCATTAAGTGAGATGTTAGCTGTGGGTTTAATCATATATGGTCTTTATTGTATGAGCCACATTCCTTCTATACCTAATTCGTTGAGAGTTCATAATCATGAAACGATAATGAACTTCATCAAATGCTTTCTCTGCATCTATCAAGTGATCATATGGATTTTGTTCTTTATTCTGTTAATGTAAATGTATTTCACATTTATAGATCTGTATGTTGAACTATCTTTGCATCCCTACCTTAAAGCTCACTTTATCGTGACAATCTTTTCGACATGCTGTTGAGATTAGTTTGCTAGTGTTAATATTTTATTGATGCACCTATGTTCATCAGTGCTATTGCCTATAATTTTAATTTGTGAGGTGTCCCTATCTTTGTTATCAGGATTATGCTAGCCTTGTAAATAACTTTGGAAGTATTATCTCTTTTTCAATTTTTTGGAAGGGTTTTGGAAGGAGTGACATTAGTTCTTCTTTAAATGTTTGGTGGAATTCAGCAGTGAAGCCATAACTCCCTGGGCTTTTCTTTAATTAAATATTTTTAATACTAATTTAATCTCCTTACTCATTATTGGTCTGTTCAGATTTTCAATTTCTTCATCTAAGTGGGTTTTATGTATCTAGGAATGTACACATTTATTCTAGATTATCTACTTTGCTGGCATATAATTCTTCATTATAGTCTCTTCTCAAAATTGACAAACCTTTATCCAGACTAAGGAAAAAAAGAGAAAAAATTATTTTTCTGGTTAAGGTTTGTCTGGTAAAGGTTTTTCAATTTTATCTTTTTAAAAGACCAAATTTCAGGTTTGTTGTATTTTTATTGTTTTTATAGTTTGTATTTAATTTAATTTAACAGCTCTGATCTTTATTTTTTCCTTCATTCTATTAATTTTGGGCTTAGTTTTTTCTTTTTATAGTTCCTTGAGATGTAACATTAGGTTATTTAAGATCTTTCTTCTTCTTTAATGTAAATGTTTTGATGTATCTTACAAGTTTTGGTATGTTGGGCTTCCATTTTTGCAGGTGTCCACATATTTTTAAATTTCCATTTTAATTTCCTCTTTAATATATCTGTTGTTCAGAATTGTGCAATTTAATTTTCATGTGTTTGTGAATTTTCTAAAAGTTCTCCTGTTATTACTTTCTAGTTTCATACCATTTTGATCTGGAATGATAATTGATATTATTTCAGCTCCTTAGATTTATTACTATTTGCTTTGTGTTCTAACATTTGTCCTGTAGCATTTCCTGCAAAACAGTTCTGGTGGTGATAAACTCCTTTGGTTTTTGTTTGCCTGGCAGAGTTTTTAATCTCTCCATTCTTCACAAAACACAGCTTTTTTGCGGGGGAACAGTATTTTTGGTTGACACTTTTTTCCTATAGAACATTGAATAATATTATTCCACTCTCTCAGCCGTAAGTTTCTGCTGATAAATCTGCTATTAGCCTTATTGGTATTATGTCATATGTTATTTGCTTCTTTTCTCCTTTTGTTTTCAGAATCATCTTTTTATTTAATTTTTGACAGTTTAATTAAAATATATCTTATATTTCTGACTAGATTGAATCTTATCAAACACCTTTAATGTTCCTATACCTGTATATTTTTCTTTCCCCAGATTTGGAAAGTATTCTGTATTATTTCATCAGATAAACTTTCTTTCCCTATCTGTTTCTCTCCTCTTTCTGGGACACACATGATGTGTAAATTGGTTCTTAATGATGTTCCATAATTCCATAAGATTTCTTGACTTTTTTCTCATTTTTTTTCCTTTTGTGTCTCTGACTCAGTAATATCAAATGACATGCTTTGATTCTTTATTCTGCTTGATCAAATCTACTTTCAAAGAACTCTATGAAATTTTTCAGTTCAACCATTGTGTCCTTTACATCCAGAATTTGTTTTTTTTTTATGATTTCTATCTCTTTGTTGAACTTTCAATTTGTTCATGTATTATTTTTCTTATTCTTTTTAATCATCTATCTGTGTTCTCTTGTAGCTCACTGAACTTTTTAAAGACAATTATTTTAAATTCATTATCAGACAGTTCATAAACCTTTGTTTCTTTAGGGTCAGCTATTGGTGTTCCTTTTTTTTTTTTTTTTTCCTTTGGTGGTATCATTTTTCTCAGATTGTTCTTGATTTTTAGGCTTACTATCCATTGTTATCCGCACATTTGAAAAGCAAGAAATTTATTGCAGTCCTTGCATACTGGCTTTATCTGGAAAACCCCTTTCCCTGTCATGCAGCAATTCTTGGTAGGGTGTCTCTTGTGGTCTGCAGGTAAACTTGTTGCTGAAGTCCTCAGGCAGGCTGGCCTGGTGCCTGTGTCAGCAGGTGGTAGGCCTGGTTCCTGGATCTGTACAATTGGCCCTGAAGCCTGGATCTACTGGGGTAGCTCTTTTCATTGGGTATATGGGGATGAACGTAAAGCCTATGTCTATAGGGGCATGCACAGAGCCTGTACTAATAGGTGCTGGACTGAAGCCTGGGTCCCTAGCTGTTGCCATGGCTCTGAGGTGGGCATTGAGACTATGTCTGCAGGAAATGGCCAGGTTCTGGAATGGGCCTAGTATCTGGGTCTCCTGGGATGAGCTTGGAATCTGAGTCCATGGAGACTGGCCTGGTACTGGTGCAGGACTGGAGCCTGAATCTGGAGAAATGGGCCTGGGATCTTGGTAGATGGGAGCCTGAGACTTCAGAGATGGTCCTAGAGCCTTTATGATGACCAGCCTAGCATCAGGATCTACTGAAGTTGGCCTGTACCTGGTCTGATAGAGCACAACTGGGCCCTAAGTTTATTGGATCATGGGTCACAAAAAACAGCCTGGATCCTGAAGCTGGCCTAGGGCTGGGGTGGGGTGGGGTCAGTCTAGAGTCTGAGACCGTAGGTGCTAGACTGGTGGCTGGAGCCACAGGCGCTGGTCTAGAACCTGGGGAATGATCTGGAGACTGGGTGTGTGAGTTCTGGCCTAGAACCTAGGTCATCAGGGGCTGGCATGGAGACTAGGTTCACAAAGGCTGGTCTGGGTCCTAGGGCTATAGGAACTAGATTGGAACCTAGGTCCAAAGAAGCAGTCCTAGATACTGGGTCTGTAGGCACCAGCCCAATACTGGAGTCAACTGTGATGAGCCTGGACCCTCCATCTACTGGAACATGGGACCATAGGAACTGGCCTGGACAGTGGGGTGGCAGAAACTAGCCTAGCCTTATAGGAAGGCCTGGAGCCTGCATCTGCAGATGCTTGCCAGATACCTGGCTAAAGGGTAGGGCTAGGGATGCTAACCTGGAATTGGGTTGGCCTGAATTCTGGATTTGTGTGAGCCAACCTAGTTCTGGGCTAGTCTGGAACCTAGGGTAGACTTGAGGTCTGAGACCACAGGGGCTAGCCTGGTGCTAGGCAGTCCCAGAGCCTTTATCCACAGGAGGTTGGATCTATGGATACTGGCCTGGTAAGTAGAGTTATAGGGGCCAGCCTGGTCCTGGAGCTAGTCTGAAACCTGGAGTTATGGAGGCCAGCCTGGTCCTGGAAGCAGTCTGGAGCCTGAAGTCTGGCGCTGGCCTGGTCCCAGGAACAGTCTGACACCTAGGGCTCTGGGGTAGACCTAGCATTAGGATATATCCAGAAACCAAGTCCACCAGAAAAGACTGGCTGTGGGATCTGGTCTGGCTCAGTCTGCAGGTACTGGCCTAGAGTTTGGGGCCATACAGGCATACCTATTACTGGGTTTTACTGAAGTAGCCTCTGTGTTGGGGTCCAAGGCAAAGTTCAGTGCCCAATTCCCTTTTCTTCTTCCACACAAAGGTTGTCTCTGTCTGTGCTTTGCTGCCTGATATTGTGGGAGGGGTGACACAGTAGTGCAAAAGTGTTCTTCCTATGCTCTTCAATTCATCTTTTCTTATTCCTCTGCTACACTAAGATTCTGTAATCTTTCACCTGGTTTCCTTGCCTCTTATGAAGGTTTGTGCACAGATAGTTATTTAAGTTGATGTTTCTGTGCAAGAATAAGTGCCAGAAAGTTCCATTCTGACATTTTGCTGATGTCCAGTTTTACAGCATCTAGCCAGATTTCTGTATAATGATTTTAAAAGTGCCTCAGCAGCCTCAGGGTCAGGTATTCTGCTAATTTGGAAAGAAAGATGGCAGATCTTATGTTAATGATCTTATCAAACACATACATATATACACACAATAATAATAAAGCAGACAAAACTTTTGGAGATGATAAATATATTTATGGCATACGTTGGGGTCATGGTTTCATGAGTATGTATTCATCTCTACATTCATCAGGTTTTATACATTAAACACATACAGCTTTTATATGCTAATTATACCTCAAAAAAGTAGTTCTACAAAAAAAAAAAGAAAGGAAGTTAAAGACAATAGAAGAAAAATACTTGTTGGGCTCTTTCCCCATGAAGTATGACTTGTATATCAGATTTCTAATGGTTATTGAATCTTTCAGATTTTCTGATGATAAGTATAATAAGACAAATAGTATGTTGGGCTAGAAAAGACAAAAATACATATTTGAGGATGGATTTTCCCCTAACATAATAGGACTTGTTGTACAAGTTATTCAAGCCAGTACCAGGCTGAAGGGAGAGAAAAGTTTCCAGATCAAATATTTGTGTCATTGGTTCAACTAAAGTCTCAAGTAGAAGAGACTTATTATGAGATACTTGGAGCCACAATATTCAAAATTCATCACGAAGTGGGAACCAGCACCCTACAAAACAAAGAACAATGGCTTGGGATTCAGAACATCTGGGTTCTGGTCTGTTTTGCACATGCAATCATGTGTCCACTTTCCAGGACTTATTTTCTTGAGACTAGACAATCTCTGATAAACCTCCTGTCTGATTCTCCTCTCTTACAGGAAGTTAGGCCGGTGCTCAGATCAGACTTTCGGTCACAAAAGATGAAGGAAGAAGGCATCGGGTGTCTTTCTTAACCACAGTTTTAGGACATGGATTTAGAGAATGCATTCACAGGAATTAAGCAAATAATAAAAGCTGGATTTGAGGTAGAAAAATAGGAAACAGAAGATGAAAAAATCAGGGAAGAAAATATTTAGGAGCAATGAAGAGTCCCCTATTGCTTTGTAGTATAGCCAAAAATTTTTATTTTTCTCTTCTTTAGACTCTAAGAGGACTAGAGCACATGAGAGGGTTTTGGAGCTTTAAAATGTTCTAGGATGCCCCAAGCCAAGAAAGCATGTCCCACATCTTCCCAATACCCTGATCTAGCTAAAACCATATACCACTTCCTCATTGCTCAGGAGGCATTGAAACTTCATCACCAACCCAGAACAGCTCCAGAAACCCCCATCCTTTTCTGGGATTTATTCAAATTGGTGCTATCAGTCTTTTTGATCCAAAAGAACCTGTGTTTATTTGGCTCTTCTATGCCTTGCCACCAGCCACCAATCAGTTAAAACATCTTTCCTTTGCTACAGAGAGGTGCAACCATATCGAAAGTCACCATCAGTTCAAGGTCACATCTGAGAGTTTCACCTGCTCAATCACCAAAGCTCCTGAATTAAGAGTTAGGGTTCTCCTTTGGACCATCAAGATGAACTTCATTAGGAATTCTGAGATAGAGCAAGTATTTCAGGGGAACATCAGGTCCCAGTGTCCACCTGTCATCTCAGAAGCTAGTAAAGAAAACTTTTTCCCTAGAAAGACTTCCGGTATAAAAAATGTTCCCAAGATTTGAGAGTATGAGAGTCTCTTGGTGAGTTCCCTGGTGAACAGAAATCAGGAATGTGCTGCTACACAGAAGAGATGTACAAGCATCTAGTCACTGCCTCAAGGTAACTTTGAAAGAATTTTATATTATAACTTGGATTGGGATAGAGTGATTCTTTGACTTTTTGGTCTCTCCAAAGTCCTCCAAAAGATGTTGCAAAGGCAAGGCTCCTCAGAATCCCTAGGAAGCTTTCAGATTTTATGAATAGGTGCCAACAGCTATCAGATGTCTTCCTAAGATGGCTGCTGCATCCTAATTTCACATTGATAAAGGTTAATGAAGGACATTGATATGAAAGAAGCATCCTAGGGACCCTTGACACATTGTGAGAATATGCAGAGGGTGGGGCTGCACCACCCTCCCACAGATACTCAGCCATACAGTCCCCATTCCCTGCCATGACCAAGAGTTTCAGAGCCTCACAGGGGTGTCTATGCAGACTTGAGGCAGATCGGACCTAGCACTGGCGCTGGAATTGAAACCTATCCTGTAGTCCCATAGATCATTTTCTTTTGTATGAACATAGAAATTGACCCTTCTGGTCTTGAAGCTTGAAACTTCCATTTATTTTATATGAATTTCTTCCTTAGTAAAGGACTCCTAGATCCCTCAAAAAGTATCAAAAAACTAAAACCAGGAGCATTGCAGAGAGACTAGGGGAGCACTTGCAACTTTTAATAGGATGGTCAAAGGAGGCCTCATTGAGCAGGTGGCTTTTAGGTGAAGACTTCAAGAAGGAAATTGACTTTTCTATAGGTCTAATGAGAAAACGGAATGCAGGCAGAAGAAAAAAGACAGCCAAGTGCCGAAGCAGAGAGGCTAAAGAGTGTGAGGTTGGGGATGTGACTGGAGGGATATCAGGGAGGCGACTGGAGGCTAAGTCACAGAGAACTTAAAGGGCTGTTATAAGGAATTTATATCTCTTTCTCTGAATGATATTGGGAGTTACTGCAGGAGTTACACAAAGGAATGACAAAATCCGGCTTTTGTTTTAAAAGGAGCATTCTGGTTTTCCATTGAGAAAAGACTAAAGACTTTCTCCATCCAGAAAAGACCGCCAAAAACTGTGAAGCATCTAAAAGTTTACCCTACTTGGTGCACAGTTTCATAAATGCTGGCAGATGACACAAGCCTCCTGGGTCAAAACAGGATTTTATGACTCATTCAACAGGCAGAATTATTGCTGTGTTTGTGTCAGTCCGTCTTGCTGCACAAGTCTTACAGAGGAAACACAGAAAGGCATATTAATGTTGCAATGCAATAGATGTGTTTTGCAGTCAAGGAGCCTGAATTTAGGGAACCTAGATGTTTTATAATGAACTCCAAACAAACCTGTCTGAACTTTGCTCCAGAGGGAGACATTGTCTTTCTTACAATGAACAGTAAGCAAACCTGCCCTCTGCTTTAGAAAAAAGCAGTATCTCCAGCTTCCAAGCTGTCCTCTTTTCAAACATCTTGAAAAGAGAGGAGCAAAGGCTGTCAATGTCTCTGCTCATAAAACATGCAGAAATGTGAGGGGCCATGAAGAATTTTCTCCCAACCAAAATTAGCAGGATGTCATAATGGATTGGATGTAAAGTGAGAGGGGAAAAGACACTTAAGAATAAATCCAAGAGTTTTTATTTGAACAAGTGAAAAGAAAGAGTTGCCATCAACTAAGTTGAGAAAGACTATAGGTGAACTAGGCTGGGTGGAGAGGGTGGATAAGGGGATTGATCTAGGACATAATGAGTCTGAGATGGCAATTGGATGGAATCCAAGAGATGTCAACCAGGCCATTAGATATATGTCTTGAGTTTGGAAAAGAGTTTGAGTAATAATATAAACTGTTAGTCATTGGCATGTAGATTCGCTTTTAAAGCCATGGGACCAATTGGGATCACCAGGGAGTAAGTGTGGAGGGCCAATGATTCAAATCTGAAGTAATCCAAAATTAGGAAATGTGAGAGAAAAGAAGGTCCACAGAAGAGGCTGAGAAGAAGTAATCAATGAAGTTAAAGGAAAACCAAGAGAGTGTGTTGTATTGGAAACCAAGTGAAGACATTCCATTCAAAAATGATCTATTCAGATGAAGAGCAATAATGGACCATTGGATTTAATAACATAGAGACCATTGATGGCTTTAAAAAGTGTTTCAGTAGAATGATATTGGCAAAAACCCAATTAGATAAGATTAGGAGGGGGATTGGAGATAGCTTGTATAGACAATCCTTTCAATAAATTTTGCTGCAAAGTGTTAAAGCAAACTACATATGGCCCAAAAGGGACTCTGTACTTCTACATTTGAGTCCTTGTGGGTGAACTGTAACCTAGCTTAGTAGACAAAATTGAAAACCTAATTTAGTAGTGTGCACCTGGAAAAGTACTTGAGTGTTGGCCAATCCCAGCAGCCATACTTCAACCACTCATAGAATGCCGGATGTTAAAACTTTGTTCAAATAAGGCAAACGGCCAGTTGTAACCAATCTCACTGTTTCTTTACCTCACTTCCTGTACGTCACTTTACCTTTTTTTGTCTATAAATTTGTTTTGACCATGAGGCACCCCTGGAGCCTCTGTGAATCTGCTGTGATTCTGGGGGCTGCTGGATTCACGAATTGTTCATTGCTCAATTAAACTCCTTTAAATTTAACTTAGCTGAAGTTTTTCTTTAATCAGGTGTCAGAAGCAGGATCTGAAGTGGAGTTTCTGGTAACCCCCAAGAGTGCTGAGTGAACACGGAAGGTACCTGCAGGATCCTCTTGTGCCCGTTGATCTCTCAGAGCAGTTGAGGCTCACAGGTAAGCTCCCACTCACATTTCCTAACTTCACACATTTGTGTTTTGAGCTCTCTGAGTTTCTTTCAGCAAATTTCTGATTCAGAATGGGTTTGGAGTTGCAACAAAAACTGGACTGGGTCCAGTTAGACACGAATTTGGTCTGGGAATGGACTGGCTTGGATCCACTTAGAGGCCTCTTACATCTGACTGGGTCAGAAAAGAACTGGTAGTAAGCAGTAATGTTGCAGGAGTTACAACATTTGGCTCTTGAAAATTCACAGGGGTTTTTGTGACTTATGCCTTTCTTTCATTTTTCTTATGCACCGAGGTAGGTAAATTCTTAACTTAATCAAGAGAACCTGAGAGTAAAGCCAATATTTTAGGTAAAAGTGGGATCCTTAATTTCTGGAAAAGAGTTCCTTCTGGGCTATACATTAGGTCTGGGAGGCAGCAAAGTCTTACAGAAACAGCAAAATCTTACTAAAGATAACTTACAGTGGAACATTCTGAATGAACAACAATGCACTGAAGTATATTCCAAAAACAGGGCTCTCAGTAAAGTCCCATTTGGCTAAGAAAGGGTTTGGCATTATGGAATGTCAACTGCTATTCTCTTTGGAATAATCTGCCTTGCAGTCTTTGTTGACAGCTGTGGGTGATGTTGAGGTGCACGGCAACACATTCAAGCTTATGCACAAGGCATTTGAGGTCAGGCATGGAAGAATACTGAGGCAATCTGTGTATGTATTTGTGCATGAGAGTGAAACTCCATGACCCTGAAAACAGGACAGGGAGTGGAGTGTGTGGTGTGATAAGAAACACTGAAAACAGCCTCCTGAGAATGCGGTTTGAGTGTTGTACAAAGTCACAGGTGCCTCAGTAACCGACTGCAAATGGCCGGCTAGTGGATGTTTGTAGTTAATAGTTGGCGCCATTCTCAGAATTGCTTCCCACCCTGCTCAGCTGGAATGGTCTGACAACTCATTCTAGGCATTCACTGCAAACTAAACGCTTTGCAGGTGATTGGATGGGGCAGGAACAGAATGGTGGACATGAGGAGATTTTTCCTCCCCACTGAAAAAAAAAAAAAAAGGAAAACTTGATAGCTGATGGGACTGCTGGGAAAAAAGAAAGAAAAATAGCATTTCTTCTGTTTTCATAATTCTTATCTTTAACTATGGTTCCATTTCCTTCCACGTTTTTTTCAAACTTGCATAAAAATAAAAATATGTCAATGGTACTAAAGAAAATTCTGAAATAGGAAATAAATCACACATACTTTCACCACCCAAAAACAATTGTATGTTTATTCCCTTTGAGTCCTTGTCCACATGCATACACATTTTTGGTAGATATGTACAAGTTACTTTTCATTTTTACCCATTATTTATTATAATTGCTTCTCTACAGGCTTCACAGTGACTACTGACTGACTGTGTGCTACTCGTATTTACTGTCATTCACAAAGTTATTATTTTTCTTAAGTGGACTTTAAACTTATTTTCCATATAAAATGGAAAATTATTGCAGTTAAGGAATGAAATTCTGACACATGATACAACATAAGTGAACCTTGAAAACATTATGCTAAGTGAAATAAGCCAGACCCCAAAGGACAAATACTGTAGGATTCCCTTTATATGAAGTACCTAGAATAGGCAAATTCCTAGAAACATAAAGTAAAATAAAAGTTACCAGGGGCTAGGAAGAGAAGGAATTAGTAACTGTGTTTTAATGGGTACAGTTTATGGTTGGGATGACAAAAACGTTCTGGAAATGGATAGTGGTAATGCTTGTAGAGCATTGCAAATATACATAATGCTGCTGAGTTGTACCCTTAAAAATAGTTAAATGGTAAGTTTTCCGTTATGTGTACTTTAAAACAACTTTTTAAAAGAGTGTGGGGAGGGGTCTACCCAGGCTTTTAGCAGGTTCCTGATTTAGAAAAGAAATGTTGATGGTAAGAATATGGGTAGAGAAAAATTTGGCGGGTTGATGTTAGAAGCTGAGGCCAGGGTGGGGTCATAAGAACAATATTAAGTGCAAGGACAAAGGGATTCTGAACTAAGGTCATTGTGAGGGGATGGAGTAGGGAATGGATAGGAGAGGTATTTTGGACAAAGATGTGACAGCTGATAGGTGTAGGGGTTGTTCGCATGTATTAGCCCAGGCTACAGTGTTCTCAGGACAAATAAAATACAAGTTGTTTTGTTTTGTTTTGCAAGTAGTGATACAACATGGTAAATCTTGAATTAAAACTTCTAAAATCTTGACCAAAAGTTCAAAAGAAAAGACCATAGTAAAACACATGGGTAAGGGCAATTCTAGTTAAATCAGGAGAAAAACAGAGCAAAGAAAGCACTTGGAGGTGGGGGAAAAGCACCAGCTTTTTTGACAGCTGTAAGAACAGCAGAGTCAGACGCGAGATAAGCTCATGTCAGAGATCCAGTTCTATTTACTAAAAGTTCTTTGAGTATTCAAATGTTCAGAAATTCTAAGCTCTTGCAAAAGGATGCTTTTGTTTAAACATTGCTTCATCTAGCTACAGAACGTAGTTTAACTTTGAGGCCTTTGACCGCAGAGAAGACAAAATCTGTTTCACCTTGCCTGTTATTTAACACATATTTGGAACTATTTCACCTTCATGGATACAAAATTTCAAACATCTGTATTAACTAATTTACTAATGACTGTTTCAAACAACTGATACGTGGGTTCTTTCTCTTACATTAATTAACTTTGTAAGTTCTTTACATTTTTTTATTATTTTTACATCATTAGATATAACTGCTAAATCTATACATGACATGTTGATTAATATGAAATCAATTTTAAAAATAACATATGTTAAATACTGTTCTTACTTTATGCCAGGTATAATGCTACACATTTTATATGTATTACATTGTGTAATCTCATTACTCTGGAAATTTCTAATTTCCCGTTCCAAAGTGGTGAGAAAACACTTAAAGGTTCTGATTGGTTAAGCAAGCTAACAAAGAAGTAGGAGGCAGAACTAAAATTTGAAACCAGCCTAAGCTTTGAACCTATCAGTTGTGATGATAACCTTCTCCAAGTTATTGGTAAATTATTGGCATGTTTCTAAGAATTCTGAATGTTACTTCAACAGAAGTTTATAGATAGGTGTCAAAAATTTTCCATGTTTTCTTTTTTGCATTGAAACTGGAACAACTTTCAAAATGGCCATAGGTCTGAAATATTTAGCCCTAAGAAATTAAATAAAATCTATGCCAAGTCCTGCTCTTAAGTTTTCCAGTCACAGCTGTTCTTAGAGGGCTGATATTTTCTATTCCAGATGAAAGACTTCTCAGGCATCTGATGACCAAAATACAGGGAAAAGGTTATGATGATGGTGGTGGTAGAGTGTTCTCTACAGGCATTGGGAACCTCACAGAACTCTTAATATTCACTTTTAATTCATTCCACCAGAGAGGCAGGGCATGGGTTTTGGAGCCATTCATATATGGTTTCAAAATCTGACTCTGGCATTTATCTCTGTAAGAACTTGAGAAATGTTCTTAGTCTCTCTGAGCTTTGGTGTATTCGGAATGAGGATGATACTAACAGTCACTACGTCACTGAGTGCTATTTGAATGGAGATGGATAAAGTGCATCTTAAATTCATTTAGTCCCTTAACATTTTCCCTTCACTTCTTATCTTTTCAGAGTTTCTTCTTGAAGGACTCAAGGACTGAAGCATCCCACAAAATGATCCTACTGAATAATTCCCAGAAGCTGCTGGCCCTATACAAATCCTTGGCCAGGAGCATCCCTGAGTCCCTGAAGGTTGGGGAATAGTGGGAGGTCAGGCTATGGGAGTAGGGGTGTTGAGGATGAGAAAAGAGCAGGCTTGTGATTCTGGTCCTTCCTGACTTTCTGCAGAGGGTTGAAGCTGGGAAACAGGATGAGGTTGGGGATGAAGGAGGCATGTCAAGAGCTGCTGCTTCTCCTTGGGAAGAGGCAGCTAGGCCCACTCTGCAGGTTTTGTCATTCATTTGGAGAGGCGGTGGAGAATGGTGGCTACAAGCATAGTGTTGGAGCCAGACTGAATGGATATGCATTCCTAGGCTGCCATTTTCTAGTCACATGGCTTCGTGCGACGCTATGCCTTTACCTTTGATCTTTTCATCAATGAAATGGGAATAACATTAGCACCGACTTCTTAAAATTGTTGTAGACCCTAAATAAATCCACACAATGTAAGTGTTAAGAGCACTGCCAAGTGCCCAGCTAGTGCACAGTAGCTCTTTGGTATCACAAGGACACCTACTTGTGAGTTCTGCCTGCTTGCTGGTGACTTCACATCCATCAGTATTGTCCTGGAGATGCTGCTCATTTCACTGTCACTGACTTTGTCCCAGTACCATCTCTCAACCTCCGTTTTTCTCTTCCTCTTCACATCCAAATCCCCATCTCTGGACATCTTAACCTCTCCTAGTCCTTTGCATCCCTCCTTCAGGTGTATGGCTCTGTGTATCACATCAATCACGGGAACCCCTTCAACCTGGAGGTGCTGGTGGACTCCTGGCCTGAGTATCGGATGGTTATTATCCGGCCTCAAAAACAGGTATGCATACAGACAGGGACTGGTGGAGCCAGGCAGGTACAAAGGGCCTGAGGAACGGACCAGTTCAGACACTACAGCTGCTTATAGGGTGAAAGGAAATGTGAGTATTTTAAAACACTCCTTCAGTACTTGGCACCTTGCAGGAGTGTCACGTGTTCCCACCCTTCCTGTAAAGCACAGGATTCATCTGGGAAAGAGGGTGGAGCGGGGAGAAGAAGAAAAGGTCAAGGCTGACACTTACAGATTAAGGCGCCTTTGAGGTGGCAGTGATCACCTGCAGGGGCTGAAAAGAGGCCAATTTACAGGGGAAGTTGGGTGTCTGAGATATCAGAACAGTGACTTAGAAACAAAAACCAAAGCAGAAGTCTACTAGTAAAAATTACCTCTCAGGGCTGAGCATGGTGTCTTATACCCGTAATCCCAGCACTTTGGGAGGCCAAGGCAGGAGGATCACTTGAGGCCAAGAGTTAGAGACCAGCCTGTGCAAATAGTGAGACCTCATCTCTACAAAAGATAAACAAAATTACCAGGGTGTGGTGGCGCATGCCTATAGTCCTAACTACTAAGGAGGCTGAGGCTGGAGAATGGTTTGAGCCCCAGAAGGTCAAGGCTGCAGTGAGCCAGGATCACACCACTGTATTCCAGCCTGGGCAACAAGGTTAGACCCTGTTTGGTTTTTTTTCATTGTTTCTCAGGAACCAGGGAAGTGTCTCATAACTATTGTGTATCAATTATGTGGAAGCACTTCTCTTGTTAGTGAATGTCACCATCAGAACAATCTTATGAAGTGAGCATTAATATCTCCAACTTAGAGATAAGGAAATGACACTGAGAAATATTAAGTCATGTAGCTGCTGGATACAGATAGTAAAGCATTGCCAAATCTGAATTCAAGTTCAGTGGACTCTGCCAGTTTTACTAGTTTTACTACACCTATTTACTAAGTAAATACCCACAGGCCTTTCTCTGAGTTTCATCATCTGATAAAATGGGAAAAGTAAGAGGACCTTCTTCAGAGGATTACACAAGGTTTAAATGAGATACTATATATCAAAGACAGTACATAGCACCTAATTGTAGATCATATTTATCATAATTAGCCATATTGGCTGAGGACATCCACAAGGAATAAACAAGCTGAAATATTAATACAAACCTAGGTCTATTTTTTGCCCTAAAGACTTCCCCTTTGTCTGTGTGTGTGTTTCATGCACATCTAGTTAGGGAACTAAAGCCTCATCGCCAGCCTAGCTTCATGCCGGTATAGACACCGAGTCCACAAGTAATAATAAGCCACCTCAGGTCAAGACTAGTTTCCAAAGTGGGTAAGGATTGGGATGCAGAAAGTGACAAAGTGGCCCTAGCTTGAGGAGCAAAGGGGTAAAGGGGGCGGGAACCAGGCTGAGCCTAACACCTTCCCTAGGGATGTTCTTTTGATCTTCTGGCTTCCTGACAATTTGGAATGGAAGATTAATGCTTAGTTTATTAAATTCCACGTTCCAATTTCTTCAAAGTGTGATATGCTAAATAACTGCAGGAGGTCAAATATTTCTTTTTACTTCAGTAACTTTGTAGTTATTATGTGTATTTTAGCAATGTAACTACAGCATTAAACCATGACGTTGTGGCTCACGCCTCTAATCCCAGCACTTTGGGAGGCCGAGGCGGGTGTATCACGAGGTCAAGAGATCGAGACCATCGTGGTCAACATGGTGAAACCCCATCTCTCCTAAAAATACAAAAAATTAGCTGGGCATGGTGGTGCGCGCCTGTAATCCCAGCTACTCAGGAGGCTGAGGCAGGAGAATTGCCTGAACCCACGAGGCGGAGGTTGCGGTGAGCCGAGATCGCGCCATTGCACTCCAGCCTGGGTAACAAGAGTGAAACTCCATCTAAAAAAAAAAAAAAACCATGACTTTATATAGGCATTGCTTGAACAAGGCTAGTTTTTATAAAATGAGTCAATAAAAAATACTAAAATATAAAAGTTCCACAGCACACATATACGAAGAAAAAAATGGAAAGAATGAAATTTGATGCAATTTACTTGGAAACATTCATTTCGTCTGATTCCGCAGCATGCCATGTTTCTTTCAGTATTGAAAGTCAGTTTGATTTTGAATAAGAATTTTTTTAGGGTGGAATGCAGGAGAATTTATCTAGAAAAAAATTAATATTTTCTTTGTTGGTTTTTAATCAAAAAGATAACATGTGATGATTATGCAAGTGGAAAACCCCAACATGATTTGAAGAAGTTAATTAACCTCTCACTTCCCCTTCCCTCCTCTCCTTCTTTTCTACCCGTTCGGGTAATCAGTGTCTTCGCCCAAATTAACACACAAAGGGATATTCACTGATGATCTCTTCTGTCACCACTTTTTAGTTTGCCTTTAACATATGGACATCCCTTTGGGTGAATCAATGCAGTACTAACATATTCATTTTAATAATTGTGGTATTCCATAGAGTCAGTGCAATGCTATTTAGTCAGTCATTCTTCTGCTATTGGGTTCAAAATTTTTATAGCACTTTGCCACTACAAACAATGCTTCAGTAAACATCCTTGTACACATGTCTTTACACCCTGGAAACTTTCCTCAATACAATTGATTTCCAAAAGGGATATCTCCAAGTCAGAGTTTATCTTTTTCTAAATAGGCATTTCCAGATTACCTTCCCAAAGGGTTCTACAATTTTATTTCCATTAGCAATATATGGAAGAATTCCATATTTCCACCAGCACTGGATGTTATCCCTCTTTTAATTTATGACAAACTGGTGGGTGAAAATGGCATCTTATTGTAGATTTACTTTGCATTTCCCTGACTAGTGTTGTTGAACATATTATATTTTCATGTGTTTATTAGTCATTTGGGATTTACTTCTAAACTCTTTATATAGTTTGACCATTTTTACACTGGGGTTTTGTGTCATTCTTAAAATTCTATAAGTGTTGTGGATACTAGGAATACTAATACCATGTGTATGCTACAAATTTGTTGCCCAATTTAGAATTATTTTTTATTTTATTGATGGAGATTTTGACATGAAGAAATATTTAATTTCAATGTAATCAAACTAATCAAATATATTATCTTTTTCACTATGACTTCTTAGGTTTTGTTGCTTTTTTATTAATAATTAGGAAGATTTTTCCTACTCCAAGATCATACAAATGTTTTCTTATTTTGTCTTACAGTAAGTTAATTTTTACTTTTGACATTTCAATCTTAATTCTATTTGAAATATATTTTTGAATACCATGAATTACCATTCTTTTATATTTTTCTTCCTTATGGCTGGCTAATTATGTTAGTATTATTTATGAAATATGTCTTTCCACTACTAAAACATAAGTGTCTATTTTGTCACATGTTTATATATTTCATAACTATTTCAGTACTTGTTTCTAGTCTTTTCTTATGCTATTTCAGTGGTTTTGTGGCAAATTTTAATATCTAATAAAGCAAATCACCCTATTACTTTCCTATTTCTAATAGACTTAAGAGCTATATGAACATAAACCGATTTTTCCAGTTCCCCCCCAGCTACCCCAACTAACTGTTGTAATTGTGACTGGTATTGGAGTGAGCTTTTTAGACAATTGTGGAAGGATTGATATTTTGTGATTTTTGTGATAATTGTTTTTAGACAATTGTGGAAGGATTCTAAATCTTTTCATTTAGAAATATGGTCTTTTCTCATTTTTTTCAGTTTCTGTTCTATGTCATCTGGTAAAACTTTAGTGTTTTCCTGTGGTGAACTACATGATTTTCCATTAAGTTTACCCTCAGGTATTTTATACTATTTGTTGAGCCTATTGAATTATTTTTCTGTTTCTATTTCTGAGCATTAATATTTGGTTATTTCTTTTTATTTGTATTCTTTATTTCCAAATATATTCACACTATTCTTTAAAATCCTGTTTGTGTGGGGTGTTATTTGTTTTTGTTTTTTGTCAAAGTCTCTTGGATTTTCTACAAACAAAGTAATTTGCTTCTTCTTTGCCAATATTTGTATGGGTTTTTGGTTTCTTGCCTTACTGCATAATGTACAACCTAAGAAAACAATACCGACTAACAGTAACATTTCTATCCTTGTCTCATTCCTGATTTTAATCAAATGGCTATAACAGCTTACATTTGGATTACATTTGATTACATGTGGAATTACAAGTTTAGAGCATTTTCTTTTTGTCCCTGCTTTCACAGAACTTATGTTTAGAATGGAGGGTAAATTTTGTTACTTTATTTTTTTCTTTTCATTTTGTAATTTATATACTCATATGTAATTTTCCCTCCTTTAGTTTATTACACTAAAAGCTCTTCCAATCAAAGCCATTCTGGCCTTTCTAAAGCAAGCTGTTCGTGTTCACATTCTTTTGATGTACTAGTGAATATTTTATTCAGAATTGTTACATCTGTCTTCATAAGGGAATATGGTCAATAACTCTCTTTTTGTTATTTCTTTACCAGATTTGGCACTGGGATCTTTTCATCTATTACCAAAGTCTACTATTAACATTATGTGTTTGTTTTTGGCTTACATATAACTTAAATGTAAAATAATCTTATTTTGGCTACTTTTTATTATTTTTAATTTCAACTTTCCTGTTAGATACAGGGGGCACATGTGCAGATTTGTTACATGGGAATATTGCATGATGCTGAGTCTTGGAGTACAGACAGATCCCATCACCCTGGTAATGAGCATAGTACCCAACAAGTAGTTTTCTAACCCAGCCCCTTTGCCTCTAGTAGTCTACAGTGTCTGTTTCTCCCACATTTATGCTCATGTGTGCTCAATGCTTAGCCCCAGTTATGAGTGAGAACATGTGATATTTGATTCTCTGTCCTAGCATTAATTTGCTTAGGATTATTGCACTGTGGAAAGCAGTCTGGAAATTTCTTAGAGAACTTAAATCAGGTGACCATTCGACCCAAATATGCCATTACTAGGTAATACTCAAAAGAAAATGAATTGTTCTACCAAAATGACACATGCACTTGTGTGTTCATTGCTATGCTGTTTACCATAGCCAAGACATGGAATCAACCCAGGTGGCTATCAATGGTAGATTGGATAAAGAAACGTGTATTCCTATGGAATACTACCCTGCAAACAGAAAAGAATAAAATCATGTCCTTTGGTTTTTTTTCTTTGTTTTCTTTTAACTGTTTTTTTTAATTGCATTTAAGGTTTTGGGGTACATGTGAAGAACATGCAAGATTGTTGCATAGGTACATACATGGCAGTGTGATTTGCTGCCTTCCTCCCCATCACCTATATCTGGTATTTCTCCCCATGCTATCTCTCCCCAACTCCCCACGCCCACTGTCCCTCCCCTATTTCCCCCCGACAGACCCCAGTATGTGAGGCTCCCCTCCCTGTGTCCATGTGTTCTCATTGTTCAACACCCAACTGTGAGTGAGAACATGCAGGGTTTGATTTTCTCTTCTTGTGTCAGTTTGCTGAGAATGATGGTTTCCAGGTTCATTGCAGCACTGTTTACAGTAGCAAAGACCTGGAACCAACCCAAATGCCCACCGGTGATAGACTGAACAGGGAAAATGTGGCACATATACACCATGGAATAGTATGCAGCCATCACAAACGATGAGTTCGTGTCCTTTGTAGGGACATGGATGAACCTAGAAAATCATGTCCTTTGTGGCAACATGGACATGTTGCCATAATCCTTGTCTACTTTCTAGACGTTATATATTTAATTTCATTCTGACATTTTCTATTAGTTTGTTGAGGTTTTCTAGTTTTTGAAAGTCAATTTTGATAGTTTATTCTTGAGGGATAACATTCATTTCTTTTATCAGTAAATATGTTGCTGTGGGGTAGCATATACTCTTCTATTATAATTCTTTTGTTCTTTTCTCTGTTTCCATTCTCATTTCTCACACTTTATGCTTTTTGTTTGTTTGTTTTCTCTTCCTCTTGTATTTCCTTAAAAAGACTTACCAGCAGTTTATGTCTCTCTTTCTTCTTCTTCCTCTCTCTCTTTTGCCATTTAAAAATGAACTTTTGGCTTTATATATCCTTTGCACTATGTCTTGTTCTCCATTTCATTATTTCTGGCTTTCATTTTTTAAATTGTTCCATTTGTTTTATTCTAGTTTACTTTGATATTTTTATAATTCTTTGGATATGTACTTGGCTATTTTTGGTCATTCTTTTACAATTGGGTCTTTGAAAACATCTACTATTTTAAATTTACTGAGGTTTTGGTTTTGGCCATATTCAGGAACTTGCATTTATAAAAGCACCTCCAAATTCTTGAAGGTTTCTTTAAAATTAGTTACATTGTTTTCTGTTTTACTCTTTAACAATACAACTTCCAACATACTATTAATACACTCACTGCTAAAACTCTCACATTTATTGTTTATATTTCCCCTCAGAAACAGGTGCTCATCTTCCCTTGAAGTATGTGGCTTGTCAGAATGGGATCACAAGTCTCTTTCTCTCAAACCTATGAGTCTAACACCACATAAATTACCCAGAGTGCTACCAAAAATTCAGTTACTTCATTCTATTTTGTGGGCTTCTGGCTGTAAAGACAGCGCCACTCTTCAAATAGGCTGATATCCTATATCCTTGGGAAAAGGCAATGTCTCGTTAATGTTTATATTCACTGAAGTGTCTTGCCCCTGCCCTGGACATTGTTGATTCTAGGATACTATAGATTCTACGTGTCTGGTGAAACAGTCGGCACTAAAACTTACAGAAATCACAGTTGAATTTGTTCAAGTTTAAGGACTTAATCCTAGCAACATAGACTCAGTAGAACCCAGAATGTGTCCCACACGTTACATGGGACACAGTATATATAACAAAGGGATACGTGTGGCACAGGTGGTGAGAGAAGCAGGGAGAAAAGCAACTGTTGCATTCTTTTGATTCTGCTGGGTGCTTGGTGATGCTATAAATAGGATAAGGTAAGTGTGCAGTTGAGTTGGTAGGGAGAAAGGTGAGGCATCTTAAGGCCTGGTGGAGGGTGACTGATTTCATCGTGTCTTTGTTCTGTATCTGATAACCAGGTTTATAGCCAGTACCTGTCAGGGAAATATTTAACAACCTACAGTTACACAGGCAAGAGGCCAGTGGTAGCTTATAGGCCTAAGTTTTATTATCCATGTCCCCAACTGCAGCCATTGTGGGCCACTGTTAAAATTATCTTTTGAAATTTAATTTTTCTAATAATTGACATCAGTGAGAGGTGTAGAAAAAGTTCAAAGGAATGACCTGAACTTTCACCATCCTATACAGGAGATGACTGATGACATGGATTTATACACAAATGTATATCGTATATTCTCCAAAGAGCCTCAAAAATCACAAGAAATTTTGAAAAATTGTGAGATCATAAACTGGAAACAGATACTCCAAATCCAAGGTGAGGAGTCTGAAGAAATGGGCAAGCAGCAGTGCTTCTCAAATTGAGTCTTCAACTAATAGCATTAGCCTCACCTGAGAGCTCATTAGAAATGTAAGTTCACAGAGACTGGGGGCTGGGAGAGGTAGAGCAATCTGTGTTGTGACAAGGACTTTAGCTGATTGCGGGGTAAACTCAAGTTTGTAAACTGCTAAGCATTGAGGTATTAATCAGGTGGGAGCAGTGTAAATAGAAAACTCCACGTCTGACAACACTGCTCTATTGTCTTTCTTTCCAGGTTTTCAAGGAAGTTTAGGTGAGGGGATAAGAGTGGCTGCATTTTCAAAGTCAGTGAAGGTAGAGCATTCAAGGGCAATCCTCTTTATTACAGAAGATATCCTGAACCTCAATGCCTCCAATAAAAGCAAGTTTGGAAGCTGGGCTGAGACAGGCCACCCAGATGTTGAATTTGAGAGGTACAAAATACATGTGCTGATCATTTATATAATTGCTCTTCCTTGTACATTTTTGTAATTCACATAAATCAGTTTTGGAGTGAAGACAGGATGAATTCATACCTTGGGATGAATAAAGGTTTTCAATGGTCAAAATTCACAACTTTGCAATGGTGGGTCTTTAAACAAGAAGAGTGCCTGGGATCTCTAGAATGGGATGGCACCCAGAAACTACAGGAGCGGGGATGAAAGCTTTTGTCTTTCTTTTTGTTTTCTACAGCGAAACTCCCGATTTTAAGTATGCTCAGCTGGATGTCTCTTATTCTGGGCTGGTAAATGACAGGTGGAGGCGAGGGAAGAATGAAAGGAGCCTGCGTTATATCAAGCGCTGCATAGAAGCCCTGCCAACAGCCTGTGTGCTGGGCCCAGAGGGGATCCCTGTCTCATGGGTAACCATGGACCCTTCTTGTGAATTAGGAATGGCCTATAGCATGGAAAGATACCGAAAGAAAGGCAAGATGAGACAGACAATGGTGCAATTCAAGAAATATCTGCGTCAGAATAATATTCCATTTTACCTCTCTGTGCTAGAATTTAATGAAGACTCCCGTAGATCTGTGAAGCAAAATGGTTTCTTTGAGGCCGCCTGTGAGTGGCACCAATGGACCTGCTACCCACAGATCTAGTTCCATTTTAGACAATGAAGCTGCTTAGCAATCTTGGGCAAGCCATCTTGTAATATTAAAGCAGACACCACAGAATAGCTGTCTTCACTTACAAATGTTTGTTTGGTATTTATGATGTGCCAGGGACTCTTATCACATTGATGTTAAAAGACACTGCCATACTCTTGAGCTTACAATCCAAGCAAGAGGCAGGGAAGGGTATAGTCTTTAAATATGCATCAGCGTTGTGAGGAAGGGTGGGGTTACCAGCAGACGTGTAACTAGAAAGCCAGGCTAGGGCCGGGCGCGGTGGCTCACGCCTGTAATCCCAGCACTTTGGGAGGCCGAGGCGGGTGGATCACGAGGTAAAGTGGTCGAGACCATCCTGGTCAGCATGGTGAAACCCCGTTTCTACTAAAAATACAAAAAACTTAGCTGGGCATGGTGGCATGTGCCTGTAATCTCAGCTACTCAGGAGGCTGAGGCAGGAGAATTGCCTGAACCCAGGAGGTGGAGGTTGCAGTGAGCCAAGACGCGCCATTGCACTCCAGCCTGGGTAACAAGAGCGAAACTCCGTCTCAAAAAAAAAAAAAGAAAAGAAAGCCAGGCTCAGTTCTTACCTCTGGGAATTAGAACTCTTTATGAAAGTTGGTTGATATAATCTACTATCTGGAAGATAAATGAAGGACTTTAATGAAATTGGTCAATAGAAAATTCCTAATCTATATGGATACTTTATTGTAAATAAATAGCCCTGCTATTTATGGATCTATGAGGCAATGGCTACTCTAAAGAATGGAATCCGTCTCTTAGTTTAGTGACTAGAAAAGTAGAAAAGGTGAAGCCTAAACAAATGGCTTTCCTGGGCTACATTTCATCATTGTTATGCAGAAAAGTAAATCCAGAGAATCGAGTCTGCTGGACTTGAGGCCTCTGCTATGGGAATGACATTTGTTGTGCCTCCTTTCTCACTTCCTCATCATTAGGGAAGCACAGCATAGGGCAAAGTGTTTCCTGTGAGTCTGGTTATAAATTCAGCCTTTGGTGTTTGTACCATGGCTATCTTGAGGGTATGATCAGGGATCAGGGGCATTCCAGGGAGAAGTGACCTCGGAGATGAGGACTGGAGAGTGAGTAGGAGTGAGCCACACAAAAAAAGCAGAAAAATCAGATGATGGAAAGGACATGTGCCATGCACTATCATAAGAACTTTCTAATTGAACACTTACATTACAAAATCCCTGATCTTAAAAAAAAAAAAAAATACACTTCATGAACAAAATGTGGCCTCTTTTCGCTCCCTTCTGCCATCCTGACATTGGAACTCGGATTACTATGAACATTGAAGCTATAGCAAAAAAATAAATTAAAAAGACATTTTCATTTTTTCTGATAGTCTAGATTTAAAAAAGAAATCTTAATAGATTTGGCTTTAAGAGTAAAGTCTATCAGTATTGACCAACACCTATCCTCATCTCTCCATAAAAAATAAACCTCTACAAAATTGAATGTTTATATTTGATGTGATTTTAAAGTGTGCAATTCCAGTAATTAAAGAATTGTATAGGTCATGGAGCTTTTTTAAAAAACTCCAGTTCATCTTAGAAGGCTGTGGTAGATCTGTTATAGCTTAGTATGAACCAATTCAATCAGATTTCTAAACTCCTAAGATCTGGCTGATTTGTTTCATTGACTGAAATGAAAGCATGGTCGGAGAAAGAAGGGAAATATTTCCTTTGGGATTTCAAAGGGTGGAAAATTCTTACATAAAAAATAAACTCAGGAACTTCGGGTAATATGAAAACAGCTACATTTTGGCACTCAAGATGCAAAAGCCAATACACAGGATGAAAGAAGACAAAGCAAATAAAAGTTGCCTATTTCAAAATAGTGCCTTGGGCAGGTCCTGTATCCAGAAGAGGATGTTTATCCAGGATCTGGGGCTCAGGTCATTTTAGCACAGCTTCCCTCCCCTGCTCCTTCCCTAAATGCAAGCCAGATTCCCTTATCTAGCCCTTTGTGGCCCTGTTAAGAGAGTGATTTCCAAATCTTATCGTGCACTTCGATTAAAGAAACAACAAGAAAGCATAAGAAAGAGGAAGAAGGATTTCTTAAGTATGTCACAAATAAGTCTGAAATTATCAATAAACACAATTAAAATGAATGGGGCAATTTTCTTATTAAAATATATTGTTTTTCATATTGAGTTCAAAACAAAGTCCAAGAATCTGCTCTGGTTGCCATAGCAAACATCATAGGCTGAGTGGCTTACACAACAGAAATTGACATCTCACTCTTTCAGAAACTGGGAAGGGATATGACAAGGCTCTGGCAAGGTCGAGTTCATTCTCAGTCCTCTTCTCTCAGCCCTCACACGGTGGAGAGAGAGGAGAGCTCAGACTCTCTTCCTTTTCTAAAAAGGACTTAATTCCATCATGGGGCTCTACCCTCATGACTTCAATTACTTCTCAAAGGCCCACCTCCAAATACATTGAGAGTTGGGGCTTCAACATATGAATTTGGGGGTTACAGTCAGTACATAAGAAAGCATCTCTGAAATACACAACACACAAGGGTTAAAAAGAAGAAAAAAGAGCTGGGCGCGGTTGCTCATGCCTGTAATCCTAGCACTTTAGGAGGCCGAGGCAGGTGTATCAGGAGGTCAAGAGATCGAGACCATCCTCATCAACATGGTGAAACCCCGTCTCTACTAAAAATACAAAAAATTAGCTGGGCACGGTGGTGCGTGCCTGTAATCCCAGCTACTCAGGAGGCTGAGGCAGGAGAATTGCCTGAACTCAGGAGGCGAAGGTTGCGGTGAGCCGAGATCGCGCCATTGCACTCTAGCCTGGGTAACAAGAGCGAAACTCCGTCTCAAAAAAAAAAAGATATGCTAAGTCAATGTTAAACTGAAAAGCAAAGTAATAATGTCAATATGAGGCAAAATAGAACTTAAGATGAACATCTGCTAAATACAGAATTCTCCCACAAGTTAGGTCATGAATCTTCCTCACAACACAACACAATACAACTACAGAATAATGTATGGCAAAAGCTGACTGGCGGACAGAAAGAAATCGGCAAATCCACAGTCACAGTGGGAACTCAGAACACTTCCCTCAGAAAGCAACAGATGATGCAGATAAAAAGTAAAGACAATTTGACAAAATGCCATCACAACTTGATATTTTTGGTGATGTTGGGGTTATCTGCTTATTGTATATTTAAGAACTTGTGTTCCTCTGTTTGTCAAACTGACCAGCAGGGGTTGCTGGGAAGGGAAACAATCCATCTAGAAAGTACTGGCAACTTGTCTCTAAGTTTAGAGGCTCTTGGTCCCCCTAGTGATCATCACCTATCAGGGCAAGCACTGCTGATAATAGAGCTTAAAAGAAATTATTTAGGCAGTTAGGTAAGAGAGTCCTCGTTAAAGTTTTTCTTTTTATAAAAAGAAGCCCCATATAATTTCTTTTCTAACAAAAAATATCAAGCTGCAAGGATAGATAAGCAAGCTAAAAGCTTGCATACATGAGTGCTGGCACCTATGCCAAGAGAAAAGGGATACCTGGAAGCCAGGCATATTCAACATGGAAGTTACCTCTTCTTTGTCTTCACATGTGCAAGCAACATGGCACCAGCCAGGGAGAGACTCCATCTGAATAATAAAAGGTTAGGGTGGGATGGCCAGCCTCTTTATGCATCATGTAAATAGCACACCTGGTCCAACCAATCCTCTGAGCCCTATGTAAATCAGACACTGCCTCCTCAAGCTCATCTATAAAACCAACTGCATCTGGCCCCAAACCCAGAAACCCACTCAAGCACCCTTCCTCTTCTTTCTCTTGCCTATTAAACTTCTCTTAGAACACACTCCTTTTGTGTTTACATCTTCAATTTCCTTCGTGTGAGACAACAAACCTCTGGCATTTCCCCAGACAAGTGATGCTGCTTCACTGCCGTCTCTAGCCCAAGTGCCAAAAATGACTACTTTGGCCTGATAAGTCCCATGCTGCTTAGGACAAGCAAAGACACGAACATGGAGAGGGGACAGGTTTATTGGAAAGGCTGCAGTAAAAGCATATCCCAGGCAACTTTCCACTTTTTCTGTCATTTTCGAACTTTTTTATTAAAGACAGTCTCGCTCAGTTGCCAGGCTGGAGTGCAGTGGCGCAATCTTGGCTCACTGCAACCTTCACCTCCTAGGATCAAGCGATTCACCTGCCTCAGCCTCCCGAGTACCTGGGACTACAGGCGCGTGCCACCACACCCAGCTAATTTTTTGTATTTTTAGTAGAGACAGGGTTTCACTGTGTTACCCAGGCTGATCTCGATCTCCTGACCTTGTGATCTGTCTGCCTTGGCCTCCCAAAGTGCAGGGATTACAGGTATGAGCCACTGCGCCCCAACTGTCGTTTTCAAACTTAAAGGTGTGTGTGTGTGTTTTTTTGTTTTTTTTTTTCATAGCAAAAAAAAAAAGTTTTATTTAGAAAGCTCCAGGGGTTGGGAGAGTGGGGTGGGAAAGGAGAGGTGCGGTGTCATCGCCACCCCCTTCTCCCATCAAGTGCATTAATTCTGGGTAGGAGCATCTGACAGAGGTCAGATCAGGAAGTGGATGTCTGCACCCCACAGCGCATGTTGGCAGGAACAGCAAAGTCTATCTGTTGAGGTTTAGGCAAGTTCAGGTTGTCCATGAGTTTGACAAACTCCTCACAGCTGAAGGTGAGCCGAGGGTTCAGAGTCCTCTCCTCCACGGTGGACACTGTGAACCCATGGTAATCATGAGCAGGGTAGACCAGACAGTTGCCTGGAAGTGTGAAGATCTTTTCATGGACCGAGTGGTACAAGGTCTCGGCACAGCCTTGCTGGAAGTCTGTCCGTCCACACCCACGGATCAACAGGGCATCTCCAGTGAAGGCCATGCTTTGGTCATTCAGGACGAAGGTGACACAGCCTGGGGTGTGGCCAGGACTGGCCCTGGTCTCCAAGGCGAAGCTCCCGAAGCAGATGGAGTCTCCATCCTCAATGTGCAAGTCAGCCTGGGCCCCACTAAGGCGGGAGATGACAGACTGGCAGCCAGGGAGGAGGGAATGGAGTAGCCCAGAGCCTGTAATGTGGTCCGCGTGGCAGTGGGTATTCACAGCATACAGCAGCCGCAGCCCCAGTTCCTTGATCAGCTGGGCATCCCGAGGCGCTGTCTCTAGGACCGGGTCGATCAGAACGGCATCCCGGGACTCTCTGTCACCCAGCAGGTACGTGTAGGTGCAACTCACCGGCTAGAACATCTGCCGCGCTGGCTCAGCTGCCGCTGGCTGACCCTCAATACAGCCCCCGCCATCGCGCCCACCGCAGGTCAGGACTGAGCGGAGGCCCAGCGCCGGCAGCAGCCAGAGGCTCCCGCACTGACCCGGGGAGGGCTGGTGCGTGTTTTTTTTTTAGCGGTTTCTATTTCTGGCCCAAAGACGGCCCTTTGTTTTCCTGCTATGACGTATTTATTGTTTGTTCTAAAGACTTTTCCAACATTTCACAGGAGCTAAGAAGACAGATATGTGCTTGGTCCACACCTTGATCCCCTCTGCACCCGGAATTCTCCTTATTCTTTCTCTCCGGAAGAGTCCACCCCTCCTATTCTGCCAGTTCCCTCATATTTGCCTCAGTTACTTGCCCCTTGGGCAAATGAACCAGGGCAGTTCTAATTTACAATGGACACCAACTCCTCTAAAATAACATCTGAATCTTGGGATTTGCATATGAATCTTCCCTTGACAAAGCAAACAGTCTTTCCTTTTTACCTTCACTAAAGGCATCCACTCGGGAGAATGGACAGCACTAAAATCCCACAGATTTCTAAACCAAACGTGGTGTGCCTGCTTTTCTACAGTCCTCAGAATGAAGAAGAGAAAGAAGGTTAGAAGGGATGATTTCCTCCTTCCTTCCTCACCCTGAAGGAGCTCCTATTTTTAAAGGGAAGAATTGGGGACAATTCAGAAGAAAATCTTGCAAATCAAGCCTTGCCATACCAGCACAAAAAGGGTAACCTGTGTGCCAGGGGCAAAATTTTTAAATTTTAGTAATGATGTCCAGCGTCACCCTTGTGGATAACACAAATATTTAAAAACCTATAGGAGTGCCAAGCTTTCAGAACCGTGTGTCTTCCCAAGGGCCTACCAAGGCCTACGTGACACCTCACTAGCAGCCTACAGGCAATCTCCAAAGGCTCCCACCTGCCCCACCCAACACACATATACACAGGCACACACACAAACCCTCCTGCTATCCTTTGACCTTAGATCTCACCTAACTTTATTCTAAATCTTAATCTTCCTGTGGCCCCAAACTCATGTTTTGTAGGGCCTTGGTAATCTCTTTATAAGCATATTCCTTGATTTACAAAAACTGTTTATGAGACATATAAGGTAAAACTTTTCATCTCAGGCCAGATTAGCACTCTTCTTATTACAATTACAAATACTGAACTTCTTAGTTGCTGGGAAAATATATTGAAAAGGAAATATTATGCTTGTATAGTCATAGATTATCTCTGGAAAAGTACTGAGTGTCTAGAGAATGAGTGAAAATGTTTTCCCATATACATTTTTTTCTTTTGAAAAGTATATCCTGTGTATATTCAAAAGATAATGTTTTTTAAAAGGGGGAATTGCCTCGACTATGGACTCTTATTAGTTCACTTACCCATTAAGTTCTCTTACTAACTCACTCATTCATCATATTCCCTTATTAACTTTTTATTCAATCACTAGTATTTCTAGTGCTCATAACAGAACACAAGTTTCTTCACTATCATATAAAATAAAGTACCAGCTATTCTCTATTTCCTCCTGTACTGCAATAAGGTATCTTCCAATAGATTCATTTCCCCATTCTGCTTCCTCCTCACATCCAGATGATTGTGCTAAGTAAGACCAAATGTTTTTATTCCTCTACCCCTCATCCCCCAGAGCCCAGTCCCTAGGCGTTTTAGTTCCAGATGTCATAGGAGTTCCCTTGCAGTGTGTCACATCTATTTAAAGAATCCTTCTTTAAAATTTTTATCGCACATTCCCAGAGAGCCTATCATTGTACATTTAGAATTAACTCTCTATGTAAAATTTGCCAGAAGTTTTTTGCTACCACTGTTTCCTCTCCTTTTTATCTGAGATCTCTGTTCCTATTTGATTAGCTAAAATTCTTTCTCCAATATTTTCTGCATGTAAATATGCTACTGATATAATGATATAATATCTGAAGACTCCCAAATCCACAAATATCTTTCTTTAACCCTCACAAGAATATAATTTCTGAAGTCTTATAAATCCACAAATATTTTTCTTTACCCTTATGGGACTGATGCCTTATGTCCCCACATTTTAGGCTGTCCAAATTTAAATTTCATACATAAGGAAACTGAGGTGCAAAGAAAGATGGTAACCTTGAACCTTCATTCAAGGTCACAAAGCTAGTAAGAAGTGGATGACTAGTGATGAGAATTTCGGGTTGAGATTAACAACCAAAATCACAGGATAAAGTAAGGTTTAACCCAACTTCAAGTTCATAAAATAAATGGACATTTCCTCATCTTCCCTCCACTCCCACCGCCAGGGAATTTCAGGATGTACTGGGCAAAGCTTTCTCCCTCCATCCCCAACCGTTTCTCAGGCAGTGAGGAGTGCCAAGAACTCCTCTCTTCCCCTCTCGAAGCTTACATTCTGGGGCAGGGAGAGAGAAACTAAACCAAAAATTAAAAAAAACAGTAAACATATTTCCTATAAAGCGAGATGTAGTATATGAAAAACAACACATGATACGGGGACAGAAGATGATGGAGGGAGAAAAAACAACAAATAAATAGGAAAAGAGACAGGAGCAGATAAAAAGGAGAGGAAACAGGAAGGGGTCAGGACAGGCCTCCCTAAAAGCCTGGCATTTGACAGAGAGCTGCAGAAAGAAGGAAGAGAGCCAAGCACATACCAAGGGCGTAGGGTTCTAGTCTGAGGAAGCACTCCAGAAATCACTCAAGAGAGTCCACTAGGGTGAACAAAGGACATACTTGAACCACCATTTGGATTAATCTTCATCTAAAAATAGGAAGTTAAGTGTGCCTAATATTTAATTATTTAATATATTAATTGCAATAGAATATATATGTACATAGTTGATGCTCAATTTGTTAAAAATTAGGTATGTAAGATTAAAGCTCAGCGATTACTCTTGCCTATGGCAATGAACTCCTGAAAGGCAAGGATAGATTTCACCCATCTCTGTATCTTCAGAATCCATCAAATTATGTGGAACAAAATAGGTATCAGTAGTATATTTGGAGGAAAGATTGAAACTATGCAGAGCTCAGGAATTCTGTGTAAATCTTTTTTTAAAAATCTCTTCTACTTTACAGCAGAGTCCCTTTTCTGTTTTAGTGGCAACCAGTCCCACGCCTTGCAGATGAGCCCTAAGAAATGAATGGGCGAATGAATGCGTGGACAGGGGATGGATCAGTGAGTGAGGAGGACTGATTCACAGGACCTGCAGGTGTTGAAATCCTGCCAAAGCAATCTCTGCAAAATAAAAGACCTTAGGCTTTGGCGTCTGATATGAGTTAGAATTATCCAAGGACTGTCCTTGGGCAACTTAGTTGAGGTTTCCTAATATGTAAAACAGAAAATGAATTAAGTAGAAAGATGATTGAGACAAACCTATGGTAGATGCCAAAGCACGATGCCTGGTATTGAGGGACGCTGCACACCTGTTATCTCTCACCCTGTTCTCTCTTCACCGGTACTCCCGCCAGGCAGCTCCCCGCTGTCAGCGCCAGAAATACCCGCCAAGAGAACGAAAAGCGCAACGCTGGCTTTACCCCGCAACGCATTTAAAAACTCCAAACCCAGCATGACAGGAGGTAGGTTTGCCTAGAGACAGGTGAGGAAGCCTTAGTTAAATGAGAGGAAGGTGAATTTACAAAGAAGGTTAAGCCACTACGAGCGGGGGCAATCTTGGCCTAACAGGTGTATCTTCAGCTAGCACATGTCCCGGCATCTCCCACGCCCATCCCTGCATTTAGCGCCACAAACGCAGCCTCCTAAAAGAATTGGAAGCTTGGGAGTCGGGGAACGGAAGATTGAGCTACCATTGGCCTGAATGGATGTCAATCTCCCGCCGCTTTCTTCCCCGCCTCCTTGCCGCTCCCTATTCCGGTAAACTCGTTCTCTGTCGCCATCTGCTGGCAGCGCGCGGTACTACACCAAACGAACAACCCCACCTTCGCCTGCCCTGAATACTTGCAAACCGCGGGCTGAGCGGGGTTTTTAAGGGCGCAGCTCGCTTGCCCTGAGTGGTGCTAAAAGGAGGCTGCCGGTGCAGATCTCATTCCCACAAGATGCAAGTAAAGAAGCACCGCGGACGCCCGGGAAGGGTCACAGAGCGTCAGGCAGGGCGGTTGACCAGCTGTTGGGACTTACTTATGAGAAATACAAATTACCAAGCCACAGTCCATCCTTTGGTATCAAAACAGGATCTCTACAAATGAAGCTCAGCGATCTGTGTCTTGACCAGCTCACAATAGGATTTTCATGCATCATAAACTTTGCCTGAGTTTCTCAGGCAGTTTTGTTGTTGCCCGGATTCGTTAAAAGCTGCTTACTGAGCCTCACCCCAGACCTACTGAACTTAAATATACTGGGGTCCCAGAATCCCCATTTCAAAAACAAATAAACCTATCCAAGTGTAGGTTTGAACGTTAAAGTACAGAGAATCACAAACTGGCAGGCCTCTTTAATTTACAAATAGAGAATGGAGACCACCCCCCACCACCACAAGAGGGAAAGGAATTTGCCCAAGGTCTCTCTGCAAGATCCTAATAAAACGTGAGGCTCTAGGGTTAAAATCTTATTTGACACCCTTTCCCTCCCACCAGCTAGTCATGTGGCCTCTGGCAAACTATCCTGTTGTAATCTGCGAAATGGGAGCAACAGTCACACCTACCCCAATGGGTGACTGCAAATATCAAATGGGACCAAAATGAGTCAACTACCAAGCACCACCCCACTGGAAGTAGAGGTTCTACTAAATCTTGATCACCCTACCCCCATCCATCTTCTAGAACAACTGTATGAAGGTAGTGATGAAGCCACTCAGCCACACGTTGGTCCCAAACCACATTCACATTCACCCACAGCTCAATGAATATTTCTTTTCTTGGAGAGAGAGAGGGGCTCCTTGGAACCTCTGGAGTCCGGGGTGGGGAATGTTATCCTCCTCATGAGTGCACTGTCTTTCTAAGATAGGATGGACTGTGGGGTCTATATGAAGAGTTAGCTGCCAGGGCTTCAAGGCTGGCTCCTAAACGGTTGCTGGAGGCTTAGAGACCCCACTCCAGCTCTCTCTCAAATAGGGGCAGCTTATTAGCAGGAGTGAGTGAGGTGAGCCCACTATGAACCCATAGGAGGAGAGGAAAAGACCATCCCGTCTAAGCTTTTACATACCCAATTGCAAGCTCCAGAATGTGGTGCCCAGGCCCTTATCTCTAACCCATCCCCAGAAGCCAGTTCTTTTCAGCCTTTCCTGCCACTTCTGCCATTGTACATCCAGACAATTCCCCTCTTCTCTTCTATCAAACTCTACTCATCTCTCATCCATCAAATCCAAATTTAAATCTCATTCTTTGTGATATACTCTCAGGATAGAAGTAGTGGTGCCTTCCTCTGTATTCCAGGAACATGTTGTTTGCAACTCTAAATACAGAAATCAGCCTACTGTTAAGCTTCAGGTGCATCTTTTAGGGGTTCAAGAAGGAATCGCTCTCCAAAAACACTGGGCTTGTTCCCTAACTTCACCAGACCTCAGCTTAGTGCTTCATCTGTTCCCACCTCTCCCAGCCATGTGAGAGGCCTTTTCTTCTTTATGGGTTTGACAACCACCATTTACTTGCCCAAAAGTGTTCCTGTCATATTTATAATAAATTCCAGCCAACAAGATGCTTTGTGCCAAGGTAATGTTCCTTTTTAGGGCAAACACTTTGTCCCCAGGGACGTTAGACAACTTCAGCAGCCACATATAAGCATTAACTGAAAGTGAGGTTTCCTTCATGCCTCAAAAGATTCCCTGAGCATCCCTACTCGGTCACTGATGTCAAATTGCAGTGAGATTGCCTCAAAGCTCTCAGAGCACAGCTGCAAAGGGAAAAGCAAAGCTGAGCTCTACTCTGAACCTGTAGCTTTAGGCAGTTAGTTTCTCTCTGAGGGTCCGTTTTATACTTAAGGAAGAAATGGAAAACTGGTACCAAAAATGACAGCAGGTTACTTATTCCAATCATGTGATCAGTTGCTACTCCCGTGAGGAGCAAATAAAGAAGAGATAGACGCATAGTTATTCCTAGGCTCAAGGAGCAGGGAAGCTCTGGAATTGGTGTGCAGCATGTGCTGCATGGAACACCATTACAAAGGAAAAAGAGAGGTCCACTAGGAGGTAAAATACAGAGCACTTAAGTCACAGGGAGTCTGGGAAACAAGGCAGGCTTTTGTATTTATCATTTGCTGCGATATCTCTCTGTGAACTTTCTTCTCCCTTTTAATTTTCCCTGTACTTTAATTATATTTCTGAGACTTGGCATAGTGGCTTAAGCCTGTAATCCCAGCAGTTTGGGAGGCAGAGGCTGGCAGATCACCTAAGGTCAGGAGTATGAGACCAGCCTGGCCAACATGGTGAAACCCCATCTCTATTTAAAATACAAAAAATAGCCAGGTAAAATACAAAAATTGGCAGGCACCTGTAACCCCAGCTGCTAAGGAGGCTGTGGCATGAGAATAGCTTGAAACTAGGAGGCAGAGGTTGTAGTGAGCTGAGTTATGCCACTACACTCCACCCTGGGCAATACAGCAAGACTGTCTCAAAAACAAAAAAACCCCACACTTCTCAGTTAATGGCCAACATTGCTACTATTGTAAGTCCCAGTTTCCCTAGCTTTCTCCCTCCACGTATCTTTTATTTTTACCTATGTTCTTCTCACCCAGGTTTGGCCTCTTGCCCCTTCTTAAGCCTCCCTTGGCATCATGTGTTGAATGTCCACTTCCCTCCTTACTTTTTAGTTGGAGTGCATTAGCATCTCCAAGTCAACATGTCAAAAGCAGAATTACTGATATACAGACACACCACTCCTGGCACACACAGCGTCTTCTGCCTCAGACTTCCCCATATCAGTTAACAGAGACTTATCCTTCTAGTTGCCCAAGTCAAAAACCCAGGAATCATCGCCGAGCCCTCTTTTTCTCTTATTTATGGAACACCCCAGCAATAAGCAAATTCCATGGGCTCACCCTCCAAAATAAATGTGGAATCCAGCCGTTTCTAACACCTCCGCCATTACCATCTGAGTCCGGGCTTCGACATCTTTGCCCTCCTGGGATAGAATCTTAGCTGCCTCTCCCTTCCACATCTCCTCTTGTCCTCCTAGAGTTTGTCCCACACACAGCTGCCAGAGTGATTTTTAAAGATACATGAGGGTATATTTCTCCCTTGCTTCAAATCTTCCATTTAAGATAAATTTCACATTTATAACAAAATCCAGACTTTTTCATATGGCTGACCAGGTGCTTCATGCTAATGGAATGTGCACATGCTTCTCCCAAAGGAGTGCTTTTTGCCAGGGCAAATTCTCTATCTCCAGTGATGTCGGGTAATTTCCACAACAGCATTCTCTGCCACCTTTTGCTTTTCATAGCTTTTTTCCTCCAGATCCTACAATGAAAGGAAGATCAAGTCTCCTCGTGTAGCAGGAGCGGCAGCGAGAAACAGAGCTCCCGAACACCGAATGGAGAAGGAAGAAGTCTTTATTACAGCTGGGAGCTGAGAAATAATTTGTCCAAATTCAGCTCATCTAACAAAGGAAGGTTCTGCCTTTATATAGGCTTATACTTTAGATATTACACGTGGAAGAATCCTGGGTTTAGCCTTAGAAATCACATATGAAAACGGCTTCGGTTTACAGCTTCAGGAATCACACGTGAAAGGGTTTCGGTTTATAGTTTTAGGACTCACATGTGAAAAGGTTTCGGGTTTGATCTTGTTTTAAGTAAAAACAGTGTCTTCGGGAGAGTTTCCCCCAGACCAAGCCCACCACCGACAGGAAGGTGAATCCGAGGCACCAGTCAGCCTTTTCTTCTATTGAAATGCAGTGTGGCAGTCAAAGCGGAAGTCGATCCCAGATGCCGGGGTCTCCTTCCTCACCTGTGCAGTGATTTACTCTTCGATGGATATTGGTGCCAGTCACGTGTACCACTTTTAGATGATTCAAGAATAACAGCGATTTGAGAGAGTTGTTAAGTTTTCCCTTCTCTTTTTCTGTTTGATATTATTTTTACAATTATACTTACAAAGTTTGCTCTTTCCAAACACCGCAAGACCCATGTAACTTAAGCAGTGATTTTAGGGAATCTCTGTATATTTGACATTAAGCTCAGAAACATGCTCATGATACTCCATCAAAACTCTCAACTTTTACATAAACATCTGGCCTTCTACCAGTTACAAAATAATTGTCACCATCACCCCTTAATCAACCATCTTCTCCCCTTCCTTGACCAGCTTCTCAAAAATAACACCCGATACTGAAGGCATCTCCTTCTATTCAGGTTCTTAGACAGTAAGACTTTCTGTTCTTACAGTAAGTAGAACAGTACGATGTTTTCTCAAGCCCGATGCAAAGCACTTCTTTGATCATCAGTTTAGGAATGCCTGGCTTTGGAGTCTTCATCCGGAGGGCAAAATTCTGCACTCAGTAATGCATATCCTAGGAACCAGGCTTAAGCACTGGTGGCCTCTTCCTCGTCCAAGATGGCATTGTCCGTGTTCGCCAGCCCCTCCGAGAAGTTGGCTCATATGCGGGGCAGGCCAAGTCCGTCCAGATATCACGCAGACGTGGGTGCAGCCTGCTTTGAGACCTGCAGTCTGCTGGAGGCTGGGCCTCTGCATCATCCGGGTGTGGCTCTCTCTGCGGCGGCCGCCAGATCCCACCTGGATGCTCGTCCCGCCACCGCCCCCACCCCGCTGCTGCAGAACTGCAGGAACCGCCAAACACCTTGGCGGGCTTTGCCCTGCAGCTCCCGCGGACTCGCCGCTCCTGCTCACAATCAAACAACAGGGAAACTGTGAAACCGACAGGCGCCTCCCATTCCCGCCCAGCTGCCGCGCTGCTCTTCCTCGTCCTTCACTAGGAGACAAGGGACGCCGCTGAGCGGGAAGGAGCAGGGCAGTGATTGCTTAGTTCATCCTGGGAGGCGGGAGCAGGCGGTGGACTGAGCGGTGCGGGGGAGGGGATCGCTGGGGCATATAGATGGGTCATCCGGACAAATAGGGAGCTTGAGAGGGTGGGCGCGCAGTCCTCTCGGCCCCGCCTTCCGAGCCACACGTGCGCGGGCCGGCTGGCTCTGTCGATCCTTGCAGCCGCTTCGGTCACTGTCTAGAGCCTGCCAATTGCCTTCCAAAGTGGATGAGAGATGAGTCATTTCCAATGAGAGAAAACAGCCTCCAGACACTCTTCGCCCATTGGCCAGCGAGAGTGTGGATTCCCAGGCAAGCAAGGGCGCTCTTCCAGGCAGGAAAAGTTGGGCTGAGAGCGACTCCAGCAGTCTTCTTAGCACCTGCTGGGATCCGTCTGGACACGGGCGCGTGCACTCTCTGGACAGACTCTCCGGTTCTGCGAGTGGTTTTTCTGGTCCTGGGTCGGACCTGGAGTTCTTAGGGGGTGGCTGGCAAGGGCAATAGGCAGAAGGACCTCAGCCCAAAGTCAAGGAGGTTTTGGATGGGGAGCTGGGCAGCCCTGCCTGTTGTGGTAATTCCCTTCCCTCCCCTCAGCTTCAAAGGCCAAGAGTTTTACTCCTGAAAAGATACTTGGGGATCCTCTGGGTTTTCCTGAAGCTCAAGAGAGTCGTTTGACCCCGGTGGGTCCTTTCCCTGTCTTGTGCCCTTCGCACCCATAGAACGAGACCAGGTTCGGTTAAGCAGAGCAGAAACTTTATTCACTGATCAAGCAATTGAGAAGGGGAGCTCCTGCTCAAAGTGCCTTCTACCCCGGGGTGTAGTGAGGGGGTGCTTTTTAAGGTCTTCTAGGGCACGTAGGTAGAGACTGAGGGCAAGGATTCCTGGAAGGAGATAGGGCTTTCCAGGAAGAGCTGAGTGTGGCAGTCTCGTACTTTCTCTTGCCCCCTCCCCCCACCACCATCACCAGTACGTGTGCCTAGCAAGGTGCATTTCTTTCCGGGGCAGAGATTTCGTAGGGTAATTAGCAATGATTCAGGTTAGGGTAGCTGCTGAGCTCCTTTCCCATCTTGCAGCCCGGTGGTTACTGACATCCAGCCTTTATATCTGTGAGCCAGCACAGCTGCAAGCACAGGTTACCTTCCTAGGTTGAGGCTTTAGGAAACCACTGAGGTCATGCTGTGGTGACACAGACAGTTGTTGAAACAACTTGGTGTGCATTTGAGGCGGGGATTGTGGGGTGAGGCAGGTAAAAATGCAGATTCCATAACCGTACCCCGACATATTGAATGAGTCTGTGAGGGTGGGATCTGGAATCCTTTTTAAAAAGCTCAGAGGAACCAATTCACAGGAACAATAAAAGTTTGATCTGAGCCAAACTCCTTAATCTAGATATGAGGAAACAGGGATTCCCTAAAAGGGGTACAGGGAGAGGGTTGGAGGAAAGTTATAGTTTTAGGGTGGTTCTTTCATGGGAAAGAACCTGAGAAGTTTTCTCAGCGGATGCTCTAATCAGTATGCAGCTGAATACTTTAGGTGAACCCTCTTCATATATCCGGAGTTCTCTCTCTGTTCAGGTGTCCCTCCAGGTCTATGGTCTGAGACCTCTTGTCACTTTGGTCTCTCAGCTTTGTCTCCTCAAATCTGGAATTCCAACTAGCTTTGCCTTGCTTCCCTTCCTTGTGACAGTGGCCTGGAGACTCCCTCAAAGTGTCTGCTAGAGTAATTATAGGACACATTTCAGTTGTCACTGTCCTTAACTGCATGATTTCCAGTTCCTTGTAAACCATTGTTTCATATATTTTGCTTTGTTTTCAGAATAGGGAGAAATCCAGTCCCTGTTACTCCATTTTAGCCAGAAATTCAATGACTTTTCATGTTCCTGACTACTAGTTCTATTATCTCTCTCACTTCTGGATCTGTCTCTATTCACTGATGTTTCTAGTCATTAGGGTCATATTTTTACACTTTCTAAATGCTTGCTGGTTTTTGACTAGATATCAAGCTTTGTTAATTTCACAACTTTGGGTGCCAGAAATTTTTACATTCCTATCAAACTTCTCGACCTTTGTTCTAGTATATTGTTATTTTAAATGGAAACCGTTTTATACTTTTAAAGCTTGCTTTTATTTGTTGGGTGGGACCAGGACTAGGACTAAGTTTGTCCCACTTTCTGAGTACTCTGCCTGATACTTCATGAATTATGAAGTTGTCTAGTCAGAATTTGGGAACTGAAACTTTTCCCAGTCCTGTATGAGCCTCAGAAATTGCTGCATCTGCTCCTTTTGGGGAGTTGTTTTCCTGCTCCTTTTCAACAGTTTCACTACACACATGCACTGGCCAAGCTGAAATCTCAAGGGATACCCACTACAGACTCTGATACTCTGTGCTCCTGTGGTTCTTCTCCCTAGTCCTCTGCCATACAAGCTCCAGTCATCTTGGCCTCCTAAAACTCCCAGCTTGTCTTCTCAACTCAGGGAAACTGCTGGACTCTGCCTGTTTCCCCTCCCTGAGATATGCCTTGGAAACTCCACACAGTAAGCTAGATAGCCACAGGGCTTACCTCATATGACTTCTTTCTCAGATATCAGAGATGAGGTCCCACACTACCTGATGTCCAGGGTTTGAAAGTTGTTATTTCATAGATCTTGTCTTTTTTGTTTTTGTTTTTTTCAGACATTTCAGGTAGCAGAATAAATTCCATCCTTGGTTCTCCGCCCTGTCCACTAGTAGGAGTGGAGTTAGTTATATTCTCTTTGAACTCATCATGAATTCCATGAAGACTGAAGAGAACGAGTCACTTATTGCTACAGAAGGTGACCAGAGTACTAGACCTGAAGTTTCAAAGGTATATCTACTTTTTTACAACTCCTCACAACCATAGTGCCATATGAGGTTCTCGGAGGTAAGTTCTTAAAGAATGATACTTATAAGCCCTTCCCTTAGGTCCTTTAAAATATATTTGGGGAGCTCATACACATAAGTGCTTGTGGAAAGCAAAATGAGTTAATAATGCTAAACATGCCTTTAGTTAATTAACAAGATGACTAAAACAAGATAGACACATCATGGAGAGTATAGACGGGAAAAATGATTAGCTAATGTTTACTGAGGAAACACTGTGTGCCTGGAATTGTGTCCCATCATATGGATTATCTCATTTAACTCTTAATAGAACTATACAGTAGGTATTAATATCATCCTTATTTTACAAAAGAAGAAACTGAAGCTCAACTTGCTTGTAGTTGCAGCAGTAATAGACTGCAGAGCAAGAATCTGAAGGTAGGCAGTCAGACTACAGAGACTGGTTTTTGAACCATACTGTTTTGCTAAAAATATATAAAACGATAATACTAAATTGAGACATGAACAAGTGATTTTAGAATACAGAGAAAAGAATTCTTATTTAGACTTAAGAAATTACAGCAGTGTGATATGAGAAAGCTCTTAATGAATGAATAAACCTAAAATTGTTAAACTCATATGTAGAAGTGGTTGTTGAGGCTGGGAAGAGAGGGAAATGGAAGTATTAGTCAAGGGGTACAAAGTTTACTTACACAAGGTGGTAAGTTCTAGGGATCTGTACAGCGTGGTGCTTATAGTCAATAATATTGTATGCTTAAATTCTTGCTAAAATGCTAGATCTTATGTTAAGCATTCTTATTACAAAAATAATAAATGAGGGCAAGAAGAGACTTTTGGAGGTGACAGATTGATGGCATAGATTGTGGTAATAATGTATCTCCACACTCATCAAGTTGCATACATTAATTAATGCGTCATTAATTATGCATTTAGTATGTCTAAAACTAATTTTTGTAAAAAAACAATGAACAACATTTCACTAGTGTACCAAGGATGAAGGAATGGCCTGAGTAAAGTCATGTATACATGAAAGCATATTTGAAGAACAGGATAGCTGCATTTGATGGTATATAAGGATAATTCAAGAATGTGGTAGGCAAGTAATGCTTTTTTTTTTTTTCTTTTTTGAGATGGAGTTTCCCTCTTGTTACCCAGGCTGGAGTGCAATGGCACGATCTCGGCTCACTGCAACCTCTGCCTCCTGGGTTCAGGAAATTCTCCTGTCTCAGTCTCCTGAGTAGCTGGGATTACAGGCACACTCCACCATGCCCAGCTAATTTTTGTGTTTTTAGTAGAGACGGGGTTTCACCATGTTGACCAGGTTGGTCTCAATCTCTTGACCCTATGATCCACCCACCTCGGCCTCCCAAAGTGCTGGGATTACAGGTGTGAGCCACCACGCCCGGCCTGATTTCTATACTGGTAAGGTAGAGTTGTGCCAAGATCACAGCAGGCTTTGTATCAATAAGATCTTTCCGTATTGCCAGTAAAAATATTTTCTAATGGTGAAACAATGAAATGGATTCATTGCTTCACATGAGTGGACATTCTAGAATTCAGCTGAGCTCTTAATTCAATGGAATTATACAATTTCTTCAAGGACTTGTTTGTGTGTTTTGTCTCTATGTTCTGCTTTTCATGTTATAGTGACAAATAGAGCTGCAGTAATATCAGATGCTTTACTCTCCCAATAATGAGTCTATCCTGGTTTCCTGAGGAAACTTCTCCTTGCAGTCTAATTGTCTCAAGTAGCTCACCCATTCCTGCACAAAACCGTGTGACTACAAAGGCACTTACAGATATTCTTAAGCTGTCATGAATTCATTTCCATACATGTATGGCTCCTAAGAAGTGAGAGAGAGGTAGAATAGCTTTTTGGAAAATAGCTGCAGTATCTTTTACTTCTTTGAATTCCATGTGTAGGCTCTGGATTTTCTTCTGTAAATAAAGGAGATGTGTTTACAGACTTTATCCTTGTATTGTTTAGGAGTTATTCAGTTCACTTTAAACTTCGTTAAGTATTAATGTTAAAGTGCTTAGGGCTATTTTTATTCAAGAGAATTGCCACTAATCATATGTGATTATTTAATTTAAATTCAACTTAACTAAAATCCAATAATGAAAAAGGTGAATAACACAAATTCTCAGTTGCACTAATCACATCAGGTACTTAAGAACCACATGTGGCTGTGGTATCAGACAGCACAGATGTAGAACATTTCATTACGGCAGAAATTCTGTTGGGCAGTACTAGTCTAGGGCATCCAGTTACAGAAAAGAACTAGAGTGTTAAACTGCCAAATGATTTGTGGAGAAGGAATGAAAGAGAAAATCAAAATAAAGGAGGCAACAAAGCAAAGGAATATAAATTTAGAAAAAGTAGAAGATACAAAATGATAGAAATGTACACAAAAAACCCCAAACCCAAATTATTCAAAAGACTTTAACTTCTATTGCTTCTTTTAAATTTATTTATTTCGTATACAGTAAAATTCAGTCTTTTTGGTATACAGCTCAATGGCTTATGACAAACACCTACAGTCATGTAATCATGACCAGAATCAAGAAGCAAAGCAGTTCCATCACCCTAAATAATTCCTTGTGTGGTTTTATTACTCTAAATAATTCTCTGTATTCCCCACTTATCCCTTTTCACTCCAGTCCCTGGCAACGGCTAATCTGTTCATTACTCTAGTGTTGCCTTTTCCAGAACGTCAGGTAAATGGAACACACGCTGAATCATACCCTTTGAGTCTGGCTTCTTAGAACATTCTATTTAAGATTCATGGGTGTTGTTGCATGCATTGATAGGTTTTTTCATTTTATATCTGAGTAACATTCCACTGTGTGAGTGTATCAAAATCTGTTTAGCCACTCACTCATTGAAGAACATTTGAATTGTTTCCAGTTTGGGGACTTTGTAAATAAAGCTGTTATGAACATTTGCATAACGGTTTTCATATGACAATTGGTTTTCATTTCTCTTGGATTTGCCTAGCAATAGAATTGCTGTCATGGAAAGTGAATGTTTCACCTTTAAAAGAAATTGTCAAAGTGTTTTTAAAATGGCCATATGATTCTGCAACCTCACTACCAATGTGTGAGAGTTCCAGTTGTTTTATGTACTTATCAACATGAAACTTTTCTAATTTATTCATTCTCACAGGTAGGTACTGGCATCTTTTTGTGGTATTAATTTGCATTTTACTAATGACTAATGATTTCTGCATCTTTTCATGTTCTTATATCATCCACATCTTCTTTGGTGAAGTGTCTATTAAAATATTGTGTCCATTTTTATACTGGTTAGTTATTGCTGAGTTTTGAGAGGGCTTTACATATTTTGGCAATAAGTCCTTTGTCATTGCTTTTCTCATAACATTTGTGACATTTGTTGATATTTTATCTCTCTGTGGTTGTCTTTTCATCCTCTTAGTACTGTTTTGGGGGGGAAGTTTTCAATTTTGATGAAGTTCACTTTATATATATTTCTCTTTGTGGATTATGCTTTTGTTTTTTACATCAAAGAACTTTGCTAAATCTAAGATCACAAAAACATTTCTAAGTTTTCTTCCAGAAGTTTTATAGTTTTTGGTTTAAGTCTACGACTGATTTTAAGTTTATGTTTGTGCATGTGGTGCAATATCTGGATCAAAGTTCATGTGTTTGTATAAATTGTGTTTTAATTGTGTAAAAAAATTAACTCAATTGTGGATGATTAACATCTTAACAACAGTGAGTCTTCCAATCTTGAACAAGGTACATTCTCCATTTATTTTGGTCTTGTTTAACTGCTCTTTCCAAGGCCACCAGACAAGGCGAGAACTAGAAAGATCAGAAGTACAAGGCATGAGTGACAGAGGTTAGTCATCCTAGCATCATGCAGCTTTAAGATTTTCCACTGAACTGTGAGTGGCTCCTCCTAGCAGACTTTCTGCTATTACCTCTAGGTCTCTGGAGTGTGTCTGTACTGTCTTGCTCCTTTGACTAGAAACTCTTACTTCCTCCACCCTCCCTAAATTCCTCAAAGGAGAGACCTCCAGCACTGGAATGTCTCCCCAGAAAAAGTTCTGCACAGATGAAGACATGTCTCCATCAGGGGCCCCCAGACTAAGAGCCCCCTGCAAAGTGGATGGTCAAGATCAGAAGTTATGGGACTTATGTACGCCAGATTCGACAGTCTGCCAGGAACTTTATACACGTCTTATGGGAGTCTCACCATATCAAGAGGGAAGTGTTTTCCAATTTGACAGAAAACAGAGGAGAGATATTTGTTCAGAATGCATTTGAAGCCTGAACCCTCAGTTAGCAAAGTTTATTGACCAGCTCCTACTTTAGGGACTGGGCATGTGAAAGGGGACAGAGTCCCAGCTCAGTCAACCTCACTTTTCAAAGAGGGAAAGACATGATTAAGGAAACAGACAAATAGAAAAACGTTTAGTTACTGGATCAAGAACATACAAAGGTAATAGAAAGGGGCAAGTGCATGGCTGGGAGTGCTACTCTGGTTGGGGAAGTGGAAAGGCCCCTGAAGAGGCCCTGCAAACACCCAAGGGAGGGCCAGACAGAATTGTGAGTGCAGAAGCCCAGAGATTGGCTAGGGCTTCCTGTCCAGGGCCTGAGTGTGCAGTATAGCTGGGACCAAGGAGAGAGGAGCTGAGCAGCAGGAGACAGGGCAGAGAGAGGGGTGGGCAAGGGCTAAAACACTCCACCTTCATGGGACTTGGAAAAGAGGAGATGGGAAGATGCTTGAAGGGACAGAGGAGTTGAAAGTAAAGGCTATTCCACAGGCATCCAGGCTAAAGAGGAGAGGACCTGGAGTGGCCTGAGGCTGGAAGTTGGAGGGGCAGAGAGGAGGAGATGGAATGGATGAGAGTTATGAAGGAAAAGAGAGCTGGAGAAGGTAGGGCTTAAACTGGCGGCCGGAGAGGGAGCAGAAATGACAAGTGGGTTTTGACCCTAAAACACAAACACTTTAGCACC